TAGTTGAGCTCGTGTTCGGTTCTTGATGGACCCCTGGACGACTGACCACGAACCACCCGCGTATCTATAGCTACTATTAGCTCTATACAAGGGAAACGTTTGTGTACTCATCACGATAACACACCACACGATCACTCCGTTGATTGATGAGTTCTTTAACTTCTTCGTTCGCTAGATCCCTAGTATGGCGCCACTTACGGCGTTGAGGTCTCGAGTTCGGAGAGCTAGATCAGATACATCAGATACATCGCAGTAGCAGTCGAGCTGGAGACAGTGTCAGAAGTGCAATAGCATTGGATTTCTGTATTACGATGTATTCACAACACCTTTGATGAGCGCTAATCTCGCACCTAACAGAAAGTCTATCTACTCTCACTTCCGTACCTCATCCATCTCGATACTAACTTGAAATTAATTTGAAGCTGTGGTCCTATCAATCATACCAAGTGTTACGTCTCATTAGCATCACCATTTTTGACCACAAATACGCACCTTTTGATCGACGTCTTTAGCAGCCACCCTCTCAGAAAATTTCCCATTAGCTTTGTCGTTCACAATCCAGGCATCATGAGTTACACACCGTTTAAATTAACTATGCAGGTACCAGCTTTCATAACCGCTTCGCGAGACTTGCTGGTTCAATCTGATTCGTCCGCAATTACTTTAAATAGTGACACCAAAGTGACAGGAGAAGCAAGTTTGAAGCAGTTCCGGAAAGCGTTATGGAGATCAGCTTCAGTTACAGAGTAATGTATGCGCCCATATACCGGTAGATTGACATGAGTGAAGCCTGAGGATCATGCATAACGGCGGCGAGGTAGAACATGAACGCCAAATGCTTTTGGAAGGTGTTATCAGCAACTATCCAATCTGAACACGCACTTTCTCGTAAGAGATTGCTCATCTCTGCTTTTATCCGCACCCCAGACCCCACATAGCTCCATCGGGATAGCCTCATGGAAGGATGGGTGTAAACCATCGAGAATCGACACGGCTTGACTGTTGACATCCATCTGCCTCACTTTGAAGTTGGCGGATTACTGAGTTTTTCCAGAACGACCAAGATGGAACTTTCCAGCACTCCGGGATGTACTCAAGATATGTAGCGAAGTACTTGTCGGATTTGCGCCTCGAGTCACAACCGCAAACGCTGAAGGAATGGAGGTCTCGCGAGGTAACTTTGTAAGGCGCCTGACGCGCCGAGTCCAATACGAGCAGGGCTTGGTACCCTTCCGAGGGTACCACTCCCTGAGTAGGTAGAAATAGAGGTGACAGACGAGGCCAACGGCCGAGTGAGCACGTCAAATACGTGGATTGTGGTGGTAAGAAAAACAAAAAGATACTCTACGTGGCATAATCGGCTACATGTAAGGAATGGCACCCCAGGTACCTAGGGCGCCTAATTAGACCCGTGACAAACTTGCACGCCTGGCCGTGTTTAGTGCATTATATTGCTTATTTGTAGAGGAAAAAGGTCAACGGACCTCGTGCATGTATCAAAGTACCATGAAGGAGAGCTCGAGCTCGTCGTGGTTGAAGAGCAAGCTTGGGATGCGCGTGACATGATGCGCTGTCAAGCGAAGTGACTGGTGAAAGTGACATGTCACACCTCTCCTGGTTACTTATTTCACGTCTATCGCTGATAAGCCCGATGGTAGTCGTCTGTCCCCGATGAGTTCTCAAAAGTCTTTTCATGTGGAAGATCAAACTAGAACATGGAACATAGTAGCACGAAAGCCTTAGAATATGTTTCACAAGACGTCAACCTTTCTCAAGCTCATCAAGCACCTCGACGATCTTAGGTCTGGTTTCATAGGCCCATTCTCCTTCACATATAACCATAAGCAAATCAACTTTGAGCCGGGGACTTTCTGCCCCATTCGATACCAGCGCTTGGGATTGATCCTATCATGTACGCCTCTCGCCTCTCCCAAACATACTGCATACAAACTCTATTCTCTGGCTACAGATACACGACCTCTGCTCAAGACATCACACATTGCATCGTGAAGATCGCCTACTCCTGCTCTATGACTTATTGAGAAGGAAGATGTAGGGGAGCTACCTTTCACCGGTCTGGGTAGGTCCCACTATCGTAACTTTTCTCTCCACACCTACTGAAACACATGGTACGGGTGTGGTCGAAGGGCAGATATCATGAACTGCAAAATGAGTTATACAAAAGGCAAAACCCAACAGGCTCGTGGCGGAAATGCTCGAAACGGTGGGGTTTGTGTATCAAGATATATATGATGAAAAGTACACACTACAGATCTTTACAACGCCTCGGATAGGCCCTCAACAGAAATACATTCAACAAATGTTTGTTTTCACGCTCCTAATCCCCCATCTTCATATGATCCAACGGTTACATGCTAGAGAACCTATCACACCTCATTAGCATCATCATTTTCGGCCTTGGAAAAGAGAATACACACCATCTGAACGGTGACATCAGTAGCCACCCTACAAATCGAAATCCCGGTTGAAATAGCGTCGCAAGTCCAGCTGCAAGACCAGAAAGGAGCATGTTCCGCCCAGTTTCAATGAGGTATCGCCTCATGTCCGCATTCCCGAGCTCGTCTCGGATACGTCTGCTCTTGATCTTATCCTTGGAGAGCTGTTCCAGATATACTCCGATTGGTGTTCCAAGCCCTGCGCCCAAGACTGCACCGAGAGGACCGCCGAGGGTGACGCCGAGGAGAGAGCCAATGGTGACGGTGGTAGAGTTGGTGCAGCGTGCAAGAGCTCTATATCCTTGGTCCTTTGAGGATAGTCAGCACAAAGAACGTACGAAAGAGCATGTATGCGATCCGCACCCGGTTACCGTTGCAGAAATGCCAAACGGCGACGAGGAACCCAATCCCGGGGATTTGTTCGGCGATTTTGATTAGTTTACCGTCTTTGCCGAAGAACGAGGATTTGGATTTTGTGTCCATGTAGCTAGGATACTGAGCCATGGGGAGATGGGGTGAGGAAACGATCCGACTTGCGAGTAGCATGAGGAGAGAGGTTCATATATCGAATGAAGCCTGCGCAATTCGAAGTTTGATAAGGTTCACCTCGTTCATTTAGACTTTTCCGCAGTTGCTGTTGACTGTAAGTCGGACGGAGAGCATGAGGAAATTTTATGTGTAGACTGAATGAAGCGCAGCTCGAAGTTGATAAAGTTCTTCTCGTTCATTCAGACCCTTCTGTAGGCGTTGCAGCATAGTGTGGCCATTGACAGAGAAGAGGTGGTTGCGTAAATCGATTGCCGCCAGTGTCTGTATTGTGACACTAACAGAGAAGCGACTGCGCCTCGAGTTACCATCAAATATGCTGCAAGAACGGGGTAGATCACGGGAGAACCATTTGGAGACTCAGAGCTCCGTCGTCGAAGGGCAAGTTGAAGGATTCGATCATTACGTTATAATTTTCAACGAAGTGACAGTGACATGTCACACCTCTCTTCACTGTTTCGCGTCCATCGTTGATAAGCCCAATGGTAGTCGTTTGTTCGCGATGAGTACTCTAAACTCTGTTCAAGGGAAAGATAAACATAAAACATAGAACATAGCACCGGCACAGCCTCGGAATCTGTCTGACCGGGTCTCAACAAATGTGAAGATTACCGATGATCCTATGTCCGGCTTTCTACCGCATTCTTCCTCACAAACGACTCAAAGCGAAAAAAGTCAAGCAAAATACTCTCTACCACATACACCTCTGGAGATCGTTAGCCTTCCGCCCTATCGATACCACGTAGAAAGGTTCTAGTCATGTACGTCTTCCGCCACTCTCAAGCATACAAACTCTTATCCTCTCTATTCTCTGGTTGCAGGTACACTACCTCCGCTGAATACATGTCACACTGCATCGCGAAGTCTGCCTACTCTTGCTTTATGATTCGTTGGGAAGGAACATGCAGGAGAGCTGCCTTTCCTCAGTCTTGGGTACGTCCACCGTCGTCACTCTCAGCTCCTCACGTACTGAACCCCATGATCTTACCTTCTCTGCAGACCTGAATGACTCCCCTCCTCCGCTTCCTCCTGCCATATACAGTCTTCCGATCGATATCGAGCTACATCGCTACATCCGCCTCTATTATCTTCTCAAGCTCATGAAGCACCTGGCCTCATTCTCCCCCACAAACAATCCCAGGCAAATCAAGTCGAGCACCCTATCCTCTCATGCCTCCCGGAGATCTTCCGCTCCCACAATACCAGCGCATAAGACGGATCAAAAACAAACTACTGCTACGTACATCTAGCGCCTCTCCCAAGCCGACGTACTCTTGCCGTCTCCACTCTCCGGCGACAGATGCACCTCCCCCTGCTAAAGACATTATCCGCCACATCGTTTCTGTATGACTCTTCGGGAAGGAACATCTAGGAACGCTGTTTTCGGGTTAGGGGTACGTCAACCATTGTCAGTTCATCACCTGACAATTCATGATCCCGATTTTCATACAGACCACAAGCACTCCCCTTCTCCGCTGTACTTACCATACACCCTTCCCATCAATCTGAAGCTGCGTCGACCTCTACTACCATCGTGTCCTCATCCCGCTCGACGCGTTTCACCCAGTTAGCTACGTTCCTCTTCCCGGCGAGGTGACTGGAACTGCACCTGGCTGGGGTCTTTGAACGACATTTTAAAAGGGGTTATCTTCTTCACGGCTTTCCCTTAAGTCGTGCCCACGGCCTCCAAGTTCCACACTTCCACTTCTCCGCCGTCTGGTACAATTACACGACGCATCAAACTGGATGAGAGGTCGTTTGCTCCGAAGCTACGCACACGGTCTCTGTGTTTGCACTGGATATCGTCGAACGCGTGTGTTTTACCTCTTCGTCGCTTGACGTATACCCCGTATTGACTGATCTGCAGATCGGAGCAATCACCTGAATATCCACATCTCTCCTCCCTGCCCATGTCTGCTCTCTGCCCTCAATATGTTCCTCTCGCTATCCGACTCAGACAAAGATGATCTGGACAAGAACGATGTCGCCGACCAGTATGGTTCGGTGGCGTAGTTGGTTATCGCATCTGTCTTACATTCCAAGTTCCGCGGATTATTGCACAGAAGGTCCCCAGTTCGAGCCTGGGTCGAATCATATCTATAGTTGTTCTTCTTTTTCTTTGGGATGCGTTCACGCGGGCGATTCAAAGACTGGACTCGTGGTTTTCATGTTGTATTTTACATACTGATACATTTGATAAGTAGAATGATTCGAAAGACTGCAGTCATTGCACGTGTACATCAAACGCAATGTTCACGAAGGTGAGTCTTGCAGGTCTCAGTCAAATTCCAAGTAATGAGATAGTGTCCTTTCGTGACTTAATATCGAAACTAGCTGATGAATGGCATTCTCGGAGGTAATCGGCAGTAATAGGCTACGCCTAATATCTTGAGACTTTCGGACGAGAAGCTTCCGTCGCTGCTTTCTTGTTCGCCAATCTATCATGTCGTATAGCTTCTACCACCTTCTCCCTTAGCAGCAAAGTTGTACTTACCGAGCTCTGCATCAAAACCGGCCTTTGCACCAAACTAGTTCTTTCCCGATGTATTCTGGGACAAAATCAGGCTGCTAAGCGACTCAATGATGTTCTTCGTGCTACGGCACTTTTGAGCCGGGTTGTTGAATAGTTTCGGAGGTGATCGAGGGCGTGCGTGATGTGGAAGGACTTCGCGGATACTGCATGAGCATCTTCAGGTGTGGGATGAGGAAACGTCGCTCAGATGAATATGAAGTGGCTAGGCGGAGTTACGTTTCGCTATGAGACGATGTCGACGGGGACAAAGGTAGGAATACGAAAGGCTTTGCTTTAAGCTAGCGTGAATGGTGGACATTGTGGTAGTGGTTCGAGATATCAATTGTAGCGACAGGGTTGTGGTTGTGATATCGTCTAGTTGGGGTTACCCATGGGCTATCGTTGCTTCGCCTTGCTAGCCATAAAATGATTTGAGGAAAGGACGCTCAGAGACGGGAGTCGTACCTGGACACCGTCACTGAATCAAGCACTGAAGTATTGATGCGTTGCGTCTGTCAGTCGTGGTGCATGTAGCCTGTATTCTCTTGCCGAAGACCGAATGTGTGGGGCTTATCTCCGATCCTCCCGGCTATTACTTAGCGGCCGCTACGGTAACTAACAGCTAGTCATCGACGTTAGTTTACACCGCCGTTTGTCAGCATGGGCTTTCAGATTTCTCCCGATCGTCACCGAAGTGAGTTCGCGTCGGGGGATACCCCCCCATGTGACTTTACTCCGTTTATGCTGTATTGTAATCTGAGTATCTTGCCTCGTCGCTTGGGCACATCAGTAAGTTTACATCATGCCCTTTTTCGGCACGCCAGCGACACGCAGGCAACCTTTTCGGCACGCTGGCCAAAGGTGGCAGGCTAGACCCACTTTACCTAAAGGTCGGCCAATTTTTTCGGTCCGAGGAGACCCTAGTAAAGGCCGAAAAGGTGCCAAAGGCGGCAGGCGGCAGGCTAGGTACCTCTCCCGAAAGGTTGCTTTGTCGTCAAACTGACCGCGGACCAAAAATCATTTCATATATACTCGGGTCCACCGAAAGTCCTGATACCCTTTGACATCCGGCACCACCACGAGCGTTCTTTCGGGTACCATTCTCTGACTCTTCTGTGAATTCCTTGAACTCATGTATTGACTATTGATTCACCTGCAACATCACAATAAATATTTATCACTATGATTGCTTTTCGTAAACTATGTTGTCCAGAGGACAACAAAATCTTTGATGCCTCAATTTTCTGGGTGACGTCACGAGGGGTATCAGGACTTTCGGTGGACCCGAGTATAGACTATGTATGTGATATACTAGGATTAGTATTACATAGGACACAAAATCAGAGGCATCTAAGTCAAAGAACCAAGAAGAAGCCAAGCAAGTGCGGGAATCGGCACTGGTATCAAGAAACGGGTATCAAATCTGCTGTTCCATTTTTCGGACGCTTTGGAGGCATACTATGTTAAAAAATACGTTAATCATACATCCTATGAATTCATAGAATAGTCATTGTATGTACATTTATTGTATCTCAAATGTCAAGTCATCGGCCTTTTCGACCTTTCGACCGTTGGCCTGCGAAAAGGTCGAAAAGGTCGGAAAGGCCGGAAAAGGCCCGAAGGCAAATTGTTAACTTACTGATGCAGCTTACACTCTCTTGTTTTCACTCGAATAAAACTTCAAAGAGTCACTCGAGCCGAGATGTGTTGGCCCTGGTAAGTAACGGAGGCCCGTCTCACTTTCCTTCCAACCAAACTTCACAATCCCCATATGTATACCTTTTCTGGAATGAACGACAGCTAACTTGCCTGCCGGCGTCACCGACAAGATTGCTTCTCAACGGGAATACAGAGTGTCAATGTCCTTGTTGGAATCGGGTAGGATTGAGTAGATCACAGGATCCCGAGGGACAGAGTCCACGCCGACAAACTGCTACCGCTATCAAAGCTCAGCACGGCTCAATACTATAAGCATCGCTTCTCTTGGGCAATAGGAAAAAAAAAAAAACTCGAAAGTCTCGTCGCACCGCATCACCTTTCATGTCTCAACTTGACTTCAGCGCCAACAGTAGTCCTCAGTAGTCCTGTTGCTAGAACCGTCAGCGATAAGTTAGTGATGTATTCTGATTCTGAAGAATAGTTACGTGGATTTCTTATTCCGTGTGGGCATAGTAGGCGGGCCGGCCTTAAATACGTTATTTACATCATTTGCCATGCGAGCTAATTGTAGTACGATCGAGAGAGATCTGAGGCCCCTTGTTTCTCAGTGCTAGATTCAGATGTAAACACCTATAGTGTAGAGTAGTTTACAGCTGTCAATTGGTACACTCACTTTTATGCACCGTTATTCTTTGGAGACTCTTCATGGTTTACACGGTGGCTTTGAATTCCTCCCAGAAGATCTAAGGCCCGTGCCAAAGGCGCGGCCAAGAGGACCAGTTCTCGAAGCTCTTTCCGCCATGCCCGCCCCGTACATTGCCTCGTGGTAAATATTCGATTTTGAAATATGACCGACTCTCAAGCTGGCCTTTCCATATTTCACGTCGACTCCAAAAAAGACAGTGGTGATTGTCTTTAGTTACCCCGGTATATACAGATGTCAAAACGAAAACTGATGGTGCCCACTATCTTCGAGGTAAGGTAAAAAACTTCTGAATGACCGAGCCGAGACGTATACGCTGCTCGATAGCTGTTCTATGAAAGGTCCACGGCAGCGACATAAAAAATCGTGTTATCGTAGCTGTCTGGATTTAACGTTCGCTTTCGGTTATGCTCCCGTTGTTGATCTTAGAATCCCCACTACATTCTATATGTCAGTCGGTCAAGGTGAGCACTGATGATCCGAATGGGCATTCACCTGGGTCAAAGTTGAAGCAACAGTATGATATAAATACTGCAGGCCTTCGAGCATATAGAACAACAAGCTGCGCTTGTATAGGACAATATTCCAAAATGTCGGGATGCTCAGCTCTCAGAGATTCAGTAGCAGGCTCAGCTGTTCAACTTTACATGGTCGTTTTGGGGGTAAGCATTTCAGTGTTGATCATATCTCCAAGCTCCTAACTCATCTTACGTAGATCGACTTCCTGCTATATGGTGACTTTCTCAAACCTTCGTATCCATATCAACCATCAACTGATGCACTAGTCCTAGGTATATTCTCGATCCTTTATGTTTTCGGTTTATATGTCAACCTCACACAGAAACGTGAGAGATACCGAGTACAGTGCTTCCTTTCATCTGCTTTGTACCTATTGGCAACATGTAGTCTGATCATCCACATGATGTATCTCCAAAGGGCGATCATGGAAAAGAACGACAGGAAAGCGTGAGTACTCGTGTTCTGGATCGAAGTCACCTAATACAAATGTCCTGTAGGCAAGCCGTAATGAGAAAAGCTTGTGTTTATCTTTCCAAGTACGTATTATATCAGCGTCATATGGAGCGTCAATACTTACTTGTTCTGCAAGCATGATAGTCGATTGTATGATGGTGATAACTCAAAATTCTAATCTAATGTAAACGTTTTGCTGAAGAAGATTAGCTTTCACGTTGCTATAGGGTCTGGGGGACGTGTTGGAGGATCGTTGTAATTCCTCTAATACTATGCGTGCTAAATCAGAGTACGTATAGTGTCGCGATAGATTCATCAGCCACCTACTCACATTTCATCGATAGTACTTGCAATGGTCGTCCTGTTTGTAGATTCCCGGCATCAGGATTTTCGCGTGGGATATTACATGAACCGCGCAAGCTATCTGTACACTGCTATGACCAACTTGGTTTTAACCGGACTCATCTGTACGTCATATGCATTGTATTCTGCCTAATGTATAAAACCAACTGATCGAGTTGGAATAGGTACGCGTATATTCTCCATCAAGCGCAGGAGTGAAGCATTTCTTAAACCTCCAGTTAACAGGATGTACAAGCTTGTACTAATTACCACGTATGTTTTTCCTTCATCGTAAGATGTTCACTTACTCTCGTTAGGGCCGAGTCAGGTATTATATATGCGCTTTTATTCATCACATACACAGTGGCAAGTCTTTCACATGCAGACCCGGCGTCAACCATGGGAATCGCATTGGAGGTGCTACAGAGCTCTCTCAATCAAACAGCTGTGAGCTTTCGGTGTGATTTCGTTTCAAATTCATGAGTTAACAAGGTCCTGTAGGGAATCTCGCAGACATTGAGTGTCGTAAGGATACCACTAGGTATTAGTGTTTCCAGCGTAGATGAAGCAACTGTGCCAATTAGGGAAACTGGCAAGTCACGCCGAGAACGCTTTGATACCGTGATACCATTAGACCGAGTTCTTGTGATTGGCCGGGAGAAACAGACTAGAAAGGCATATCCTGGAATTGTGATTCCTCCTGGAAGCCCAGGGAACTATGCTGTCTAGAACGTCATCATTTTTGGCCTGGCAGATGATCCGAACGGTTTTGATATCAACAGCTCTGTTGCTACATCATTTCCCCTCGTTATATCTTAGCTGAGCGCTTCTTATGCCGGTACTATCTTCGTTAGGAGCCTCTCATTACTAAGATCCCCCAGCTGCCTACAATGTATGCTACTCTGA